ATTTATGTAATTATTTTCGTCTCTAATTTATAATTCATTGTAATTTTTAATGACTTTACGTATCGTATTATTATACTACTAATTATCATACCGGTAGAGCTCGGGTAGTTTTTATGCTATCATCTCAAAAAGTCCCTCTCAAACAGATCCCAGTCCACGATCGACACCAGTTCCGATTCGCAGGAGGGGCTGATCTCGACATTCCGTACGTACGACTCGTCCGATTTACTCGCGTTCCCGGCGCCGTCGTGTTTGGTCGACGTAATCAAGTGGACGCCCTCTCCCAGAAACACCATAGGACTGGCCATACGGGTGGGCAGGGGTTTCGGTTTCGACAGATTACTCAGTATCGGCTGCCACTTGAATACACCGTCGAAGACATAGAAGCCGTTCCCCAGTATAATAGGTCTCGTGTGATGGTATTCCCCCCGATTTCTCTGCGCCCTCTCCTCCCTGTCCGTCAGCCGCACCTCCATTCCCACGCAATAGCCATCCTTACCCACCATAACGGACAGTCGTCGCACCGCCGACAAGGGGTCGGCGCTTGGGTCCATCGGTTTGCGTCCTTTGAGAGTAAGTTTACCCGTGAAATGGTTGGGTATCTCTTCCAGCGATTCCCTGCCGTCCCAGTGATAGCCCACGTAATAGCCTCTGATGTGAACGCCTTTGTGGGTAACTCTGGGCGCGAATGAAGTGATGGGACCTACCTTTCCCTTCCACTTGAGCACCAGTTCTTTGCGCACACAATGCAATACATGACAAGTGCCGGAGTCTCGGCGCTGGCCGTCGATTAGTTGCGGCTTTTTTATGGTCCACGGAATGGCCACCAGATAATAGCCCAGAGGTTTGAATTTGTCGATCACGTCCCGAGGAATGTGCCACCATTTGCCCGATTGAAACCATATGACGGGTTTNGTGGATCAACTGAAGTACAAACAAAACTCTTCGGCCAATAAATCACTCGATGGACACATTTGCAACTATTGTGATGAAGAGCGTGATCTTAACTATAGATTATTAGTTAATAATTCTGTGTATTATGGGATGAAAGTAGTGTCAGTTATGTCGGGACTGGTAGCCGTGTTGTTCAACTACTACCTCTGGGTATATCCCATATGTATGACAGTATTCCTGGTCGTGGGTATAGCCGTAATAATCCGCGACTCGATGGCGGTGTATGAGTTCGCCCACACATCCAACTGTGGGTTCGTAAGGATCGTCGAAATCAACAATTGTCTCGTTTTGCTGTTCACGTACCCGACCTACGGGCTGGCCATCGCCTACACCTACGAATGGTTTCACAGTCCCGGCTATTTTCGCGATATATTTGATGAGATATTTTAATAATAAGGGAAAAACTTTTTTTAATATAAAAACACAATTAATTTAACTATTTTTTCGTAGTTCAGTTTTAATAATGAGATTCATTTGTATAGTAAAAAACTTGAATTATTTTAATAATTAAATCGCAAAATAAAATATTAAACTAATGGTTATAGGATTGGGTGTTTGTAAGTCACATGTAAAACACTTGTGATAATCAATCATTTGATTAAATATTATAATAAAATGTATTTAAAAATTGTAAAACATACATATTGAATATGTTTAGAGGGGAAATGTATTAAAACACTACGTTTACTAACTCGTAAATAATGAATTCATACAGTAATTAGCAAATAATTACAAAATACTTGTTTACAAATAGTTGTGGTTTATATGCATTTGGTCTTAGCTTTAGTCGGAAATAAATAACAATTTATTTATTAATTAACAATTCGATTGAATTAAATGAATATTGCAGTCAAAGTCAGTATCGAAACAAATTTTACATCAAATTAAAAGCAAAACCCAAACTTTATATTAATAAATAAAACATTAAACTTTTATAATATACCCAAACAGTCATCAATTGTCTACACATTTAATTATAGCTAAAAATAATTTTTAAGCAAAACCTTATTTACACATCTGTTGTCTAAACAAATCAATTAAAACAAAACATTTTTTAATTACACTATAATTAAAGTGTTAAACAAATTAGAGACTTGCTATCAAAGAGTAACTCATATTTCAATCATTAATAAAACTCTGGGAATACAAGCCGTTAATTAAACGCACAAAAAGTGTTTCAATACTTCAATAGCTGGTCAGACAATGGACTGCAAAGCGTCGCCAATCATTGAGGGGTTAAAAATAATTTCTTCAAGTCATGGATCAGGTGTTCGCGTTGGATAACACTCTATAGAAAACACACGAAAAAACAAACAAAATATTCAATAAAACAATTACCAGTCAAACAAAATTGGGTCAAAAACAACACACAAATCAAAAACTATAATAATATTCGCTTAATGCTATCAATTGGTGTCACACCACAAAACACTACAACCCTATCGTACGGTACAATCATCAGACAAACGGGTCCTTTACCTCATCGCGGGTCACGATATTCCTCAACTTCACCACTCCTTTGTTCACCTCATCCTCGCCGATGATAATCACATACGGAATGCCTTTCGTCTCGCAGTACTGGAACTGCGTTAAGAGTTTCGCGTTATTCTTGAACGAGTGCTCAGCCTTGATGTCTGACTCCCATAACTCGACCAACAGTTTCATCCGTTCCTCAGTCATACCCTTCCCTATGCTGGCAATCAGCACTTGGGTCGGGTAGTAGTTCTTGTCCTCCAACTGCTTCTCCATTATCGCCAGTATTCGCTCAATACCTATACTGACGCCAACGCAGGGCACCTGCCATTTAGGTGTGTCCGCCAACAGGCTGACCAGACCGTCATACCGACCCCCGGCCGCTATACTTCCGCACTCCACCTCCTCCTGAGTGAGAACTGTCTCGTAGATAACGCCCGTATAGTAGTCCAGACCTCTGGCCAGACTCAGGTCGAAACGGACACAATCCATCAGTTTAAAGATATCGCAGTATTTGAACAGAAGTTTAATCGCTTCCAATCCCTGCTTAGACTTGTTATTAGTTCCCAGTTCTTCGGCTAACATCCGGTCTATCAGTTCTGTGGAACCGTTCAACTGAACAAATTCGCCGATTCTGTCGGCAACCGCTTCCGGTAAACCCTTTTCGACAGTCATTTCCTTCTTGACTTCATCCCAAGACATCTGAAAGTGACACACATTTAGTAAAAACATAATCCATTAATTAAATGATAATCACATACTTTGTCGAGTTTGTCGATAGCGGAACAGATTGTCTTAAACATATTGTTGGGAACTCCGCATATCTCGAACATACCGTCCAATATCTCCCTGTGATTGATCTGAAGACATAACCACACAATTGTTTTCATTGTTCATTCAATACAAACACCAATCAATTCATGCCTTAATGAGAAATGATCCGATTTGAAGGTTAGTTAGGATTTCCGATACAATTTTCAGACACTCCACGTCCGGAAGCATCGGATCGTATGCACCGGCGATGTCGAAGTCCTGTGACATTAAGACATCAAACGTTAGACCGAATCACTGGTTATAATCATGAGATAACTAACGCATTGGTAGAACTCTCTGAAGCGGCCTTTGGTGATGGAGGGGTTGTCCCTGCGGTAGACTTTAGCGATTTGGTACCTCTTCATTGTCGTGATCTTGTTTTGGGCTAAATATCGCGCGAAGGGAACCGTTAAGTCATACCTCAGCGCCAACTGTTCGCCGCCTAAGATATCAACAAAAGAAGACAAACATTAGAGGAAGGGAGAGAGAGAGAGAGAGAGAGAGAGAGAGACTATGAAAGGTATAAAATGACAGATATCTAGGATCTAATGGCGACAATGAGCCGATGGACACATACCCTGATCGGCCAAATCGTAGATGAGTTTGGAGTCCTCGCCATATTTGCCGGTCAGCGTCTCCTTGAGCTCACAGACAGGTGTGTCGATCTGGAGGGCGCCGTGTCTTTTGAAGCAGTCGTTGATTATGCCGAACACCCGCTCCCTGACCGCCAACTGGTGGGGCTCGTAGTCGCGCATCCCTTTGGCCGTCTTCAGCGTATAGGTGGTGGCGGTCTTCGCAGTCTTCACGGCCTTCTGCTTCATGTTTGCCGACATCC